GAAATGAAAGAGAACCTGAAACAGATAGTATTTCTTGGCAGCTTGTAGGAGGAACAACTCATTCAGTGTATTAACTTTAAGTTCCTGCACTCCCATGAAAAATCCCCGTCTGACTCCAGCACATGGCGGCCTGACATGTGCTGCTGTTTACCAAAGGTGATACTGTGATTTTGAGCAGAACAATTACCTTCCTCACTTTCCAAACATGCCCTGTTGGTCTGGATATCTCTAAACACAATCTCACAGCTTCCTTGTATTTCTAAAGACTACTAGATTTACAGTAGAGACCAGATGGTAACCTGCAGAAATGCAACGTTTTAATGTCACCATGTACTCTTTTAACTCAACTCGGCTTTATTTATTTAGGACCTTTCATACATAAAAAGGCTTCACAAATGAACGGACAGATCAGACTTCACTTCTAACTGGTTTAGTTAGAACGTCTCATTTCAAGGGCTGCAGGGCGGTGCAGTGGTTAGCGCTGATGTCTCTGGTTTGCATGCATGGGTACTCCGGCTTCCTCCAACAGTCCAAAGACATGCTTGTCAGTTCAATTGGTGACTCCAAGTAATGTGACTGGCTGTTTGTCTCTGTATCTCGCCCTGTAATACATGGTGCATTCATGTGGTGTCGGACACAATCGGAAAAAATGAGTTTCCAAGCTGTAAGATGTACATAAACACCTGCTCAAGTCGGAGCAACAACTCGGGAAAAGAAGTCAGAAGAATGACCTCCCAACAGCGAAAACTGGGAACATACGAGGAGCACATGAATGCAGCACAACTCGCGATCAGTCCAGGGTGTACCATGAAAGCTGAAATCGGCTCCTGCGACCCCAAATGGGATGACCTTTACAGATCATGGATGGATGGATGTCATTTCAAGACACTTACTGTAAGTAAATTTGGCTTGCTGCATTGGGAGATATTACAAGTAATTGAGGCCTGATTCTTTGCTTGTTATATTTTAAAATAAGGACAATAAGGTGTTTATCTGGACTTGTCAGGTGAACTTGGTGTATCATGGTGTGTAATGAGGTATTTTTTACTTGGACTTCTTGCAGTGTTGGCTTTCATTTAAGTGTTTCGATACTTTATAAAGAATTGAAAAGTCCATTTTGAGGGCTTCAGGGTTTAAGTATTTTCACGTCCTTATTATTTTTTGGGGTTGGTTGCATGCAGCAGTCAAAGTAGTTCGTAACTGTATGGCTGTTTTCTAAAATCTCTGTTACACACACACACAAACTGAGGGGTCCTCCAATGACGTTCTCGATGTTCTGCACATCTTTCTTTAAACATACTTCTTGAGGCTGATTTTGGTGCTGAGCTCAAAACAAACTGGCCTTCAGACGGGTTAACAGTGCTGCCGAGTTTTCACTTCCAAACACAAAAAGGGACAAACGCTGCGAACTTGCGGGGGTGCTGGGAATCACCTCCTGCGTAAGGCCCTCTCTGCACAGACCTCGTGCCTCAGTGGAAACTTGGCTCTGCTCTTCTTCCACTTCTAAACCGACGGCTGCTTACACACAGTCTGCACATCATAATAAACACATGAGGTGGACGTGCCGCCTCCACCCCCCCCCCCCACCAGCTCTGCTCCACACTGTCATAATCACAACACAGAAGGTGACGCAGATGCATTAAAGCACAGACTATTCTTTTGATTATTATGTGCATACACATTGTGTGTGTTCCTCAGCAGAAATGCCCTTTTTTTTCTGGGATGTGATGTCAGAGTCAAACATTGTTACTGGAATAAGGCCCTCTGCTTGTGATTAAATGTCACCCAGACCGGGGCTGATGGGAAATTACCTTCAGAACAGTTTGAACATAGGGGTGTCCAAACAGAGTGTGCACCCATCATGTACTTCAAAGTTCTCTCATTTCACCTTTTGTTCCCGACTTCATATACCTACTGGAACTGCTGCTGCATTTAAACACCCGAACAAAGACTGTATTCACCGATTTTGAAACACGAAAATGATTTCAGATCCGTATGTACTTTTCCACTAAAGTGTCAGCGAGCAAACTGTGCGGATAATATCATGACAAACATTTTCACAAGCACTGCTTTGTATGCAAACAGTGAGTGAATGGAAACCCTGGCGAGGGTTACTCATCTGACTGTGCACAGAAAGTAGACGTGCAAGTTTGGCCGTCCAACAATTGTGCATTTGATCACTTTCGACATCCTGCTGTATCTGTAAACAACGGAAAGAAGGAAGAGTGACTGTGCATCGTGCAGCAGACGGGGATGTGCGGGTCTGTAAATGACACGCGGCACATCACCACGATCCCCTGAAAAAAGCTGAGAAGAAGATTTCAGATCGAAATAAATCTATTTGTTTCATCTGTATCATCATTTAGATTTGGGTTCATTGATCGCCCCCACAGAAAATTAAAAATAGTTTTCACATCTGCAATGACATGAGAGGCAGGTATTAATTGTGTACAGGATTAACATGTATTTGTACCTGTGCACATGGGAAACATCTAAACTTGTTTGTTTATTTATAATGTCCAAAATCCTGTGGCATTTGGGAGATCCAAAAATGAAAGTCTTGCCACTTCCCCTCCTGATTGGGCCTAATCGATCACAAGGTACATTTCTTGAAGGAAGCACTCGTTTCCTTTGACTAGTGGAACCCAGCAGCTAGTAGCGTCCCTTAGGCTTGACAAACAACACAGGAGCTTGACAACAGCGCTCTGGGAATTTGACCCAGAGAACATTCCTAAAATACACAAGTCAGTTTAAGCAAAAACAAAATGGGGCAGAGTCTCGAATCTATCCACAGCAGGGGTGGAGCAGCGATTTTAAAAGTGCGGGTGTTCTGATGCTAGTATATCACCACCCTCTAGCAAATCAACACATTCTGTTTTATTTAATGTCCAATAACTAAGTTTAGCTGACACATCATACAACAAGACAAAGTTACAAAAGATAATTAGACACTAACTTTATGAACATCCATTGCGAGAAACCCAGTTAGCTCTAAAAACGAGATTCAAAACTGCTCTTTGTGATGCTTTTATTTTGCTTTTCTTATTGCCTTATGCCTCAGTCTCTTTATTTCCGGTCTTCAAATATAATGTGCTTTTATTTTGAAAAACTCCTCCGACCTCTGCTACATCGTAAAGTTACGGGAGTAAATAAATACAGCTAAAATAACATCCAAGAGGAGAAAATGTTACACTTACGTTGTTTTGTGAGGTGGATTTATCTTAAAAACATCTGTTTGGGTGATTAAATCTCTTTCAGAAGGATGCTACATGTTGTGGATGAATACATTTGTTAGCTCTGAGCTCTGACTCAGCCCGTGATGAGTGACAGGAGGATTAAATGCACGTAACTTTACCGTGCTTCAACTGTAACCAAACAGCTATGATTGGCTTAATTGTCACTTAATAAATCTTACTTGACCAATAAGTTTTTCATCAATGACTCCACTGGTAAAAAGTGTGGGGGATGAAATTACGTTTCAGTGAAAGTGTGGGTGTCGCAACACCCACAACACCCACGGGTGAGACGCGCCTGATCCACACACAGCTACCTTTAAGGGGACACGCACTGGGGACAGCTTGTGCTTGATTATTTCCTGATCGGCATGATGCAAGGTGGCAAAGAGAGAAGACTCACCTGAATCAAACATGAACAACTATTAAAAGGCGCTGTGGTCCTTGTTGTCTATGCTTTCTGCTCTTGAACAGCTAACTTCTGCTCAAGCTCTTATTTGAATGTATTAATGCATGCTAAAGGCCACCAGCTGCGGGTTAGGGTTAGGGTTAGCAAACAGGTGTTCAACCTTGATAACCTCTCTCTGACCGTACTGATACCCTCATGCCGACCCTCTTGGCCCCTCTAACCCTCCTCCAGTAGAGACTGAGGCTTCTGCTCTTGTTGACTTTAATAAGATTGTCTGTCCGTGCGTGTGTTTGTTGACGGGGGATCAGTTCCCCTGGCAGCAACGGATTTTTTTGAACTCCCTGAAAGCCTTTTTCTGCCGAATCCAACTGTATCTCACTGTCTTTGCTATACATGGTCAGATCTTGACTGAAGCGAGGCGCACCGACTGACCGACTGTACATGTCCAGTTGGAAAAACATGAGTAGCGGTTAGAACAAGTCGACCCACACGTCTAGAAAATAAGTCGCTTTTCAATCAAATGCAGCCGACATTAACGCTTCGACACGTTTTTTAACCTCAAGTCCACCTCTCTCTCTTCCGATCTATCAACGAGAAGCACGCTGATCGGATTGAAGATTTCATTAACTTGTGCTCATATGAGAGGAATGTAAAGGATTGCATTCAGGAGCGCCCACATTTCCTTTTTTAAACATACTGAACTACAGAGATAAGAGGACATTGCATCATCATTTTTTTTGTACCAACCCCTCATTCATCTATGTGCCATGATGACAACACGATGCTTCACACATCCACACCTTGCATGAGTAATTCTACAAATATGAGCACTGCAGGAAGTGCTGAGCAAGTCCCAATAAACCAACTGTGCATCATGTTTAAAATGTACTTTGATTTTAAACTGGGAGATAAAGGTGCGAGGCGGGAGAGTTGATGCCTAAGATGCTTTCTGAATGTGTGGATACAATCACACAGAGAGAGAGAGAGAGAGAGAGTGAGAGAGAGAGCGAGAGAGAGAGAGAGAGAGGGAGGAAAGATACAAGAAGGAAGTGAAAAGTTCCATCGCTCCCTGACCGATCTTAATTTTAGGAATAAGAGTCTGCTCTTTACGTCAGATCTTGACCTTACCAATGGAAGCCCACAGGATACTGGAGAGGCTGGGTGGGTGGGTGGGGGTTGGGGTGTTTATGCAGTGACAGCCTATCGTTGCCTCAGGCCCATGAGAGTCATAGAAGTCGGTGTTTACACAGCACGAGCCAATCACCTCACAGACCTGTCATTCCTTGGCCCCGCCCCCCCCCCAGCCTGTTACGCGCGCAGGTTGTGGCAGGGGAGACGCTATAAAGTTGTCAGACGGGCCAAGAGGGAGGCAGAGAGGAGACAGAAAACATGAGAGACAGTCCTGCCGCTTTGATTACATCCCAAAACATGGCGTTCACTGACTGTATGAAACCGACCGACCAGTTCGCAGAGAAGAAGTGAGTGACTGTGCAGTTTAGTGAGAATGGCTCATATTATGGTGGAGCTTTAAAAAGATCATACAGTTACAGCTGCAATAAAGACTAATGTGTGATTTTCTCCCCCCCCCCCCACAATTTTAGGAGGAGAAACTGGAGGAACAGAATAGGATTTCTACTGAAGGCAAAGTCGTCCCAGTCCAAACAGAGTGTGATGAAAAACAGATCTTACAGGTAAGACCTTTTGATTATTGATTTTTGAAGATTTTGAGCATTTTTCCCTCCACATTTTTGGTTTCTTTCATACCCATCTTACTATGTCTTCTATATATTGTGGATATTTTTGCATGTTTGCGGTGTATTACAGCAAGATGAATACTGATTTACAAAGATTTGTGTGGCCTAAATGACTCTCAGTGAAACCCATCACTGTGTAGCGAAGTGATTGTAACTTAAAAAACTGCAAGTAATTCAAAGGAAAAACATGCTAAGAGTCCAGAATTACCAGTGTGTCTTTGTTGTGAGGACTTTGCTGTGTGTTTTCATACATGCATTTCAAACTGGTAGTTAGCTCCACTCTACAGTACTTATCTCTAACAGGATGTTTCTCTTCCTTCAGGCCGACTGCTGATGACGTCAGCCAATGGGCGCAGTCACTTGACACATTACTCAGTCATAAATGTAAGTTCCAATTACTATGTGGTCCAACACGATTACATAAAAGAGCCTCAGAGGTCACACAGGGACTGAGTGCTGACTTGATAGCAGTTTTTATTAGCCTCAGTAAAACACAAGGCTGTCATGGCTCTGCACACACGTAGCTTGAAAACAGTCAGCCGCTTTGTCTTCCTAACATCTTCTCCTCTTTTATTCTCCTCCCCCAAAAAGATGGGAAAGCTGCTTTTTGTATCTTCCTGAAGACGGAGTTCTGCGAGGAGAACATTGAGTTCTGGACGGCATGCGAGGACTACAAGACCCAAACGTCGCACAAAGAGCTCGTGTCCAAGGCCAACAGCATTTACGAGCAGTTCATTAAAAATGAAGCTCCAAAAGAGGTAACAGCCGACTGAATCTGTCAAATATCTGCTGCTAATGCTTGAAAAGGGAGGCTATTTAAATAGTTTCCTTGGTCTCATTCTAAGCAGAATTAATGGACCTCCAACTTTTATTAACACTCAAAATATCCCGTGTTAAAAATGGATGCCAAAAGCTCATACAAGCTTGTGTTTTGGTTTCAGATAAACCTGGATTACCACACCAAAAATGCTATCGTCCAGAGTCTCGTCGAGCCCTCTGTGACGAGCTTCCTGGCAGCTCAGAGGAAAGTCTACAGTCTGATGGAGAACAACTCCTACCCCAGGTTCATCCTCTCCGACCTCTACAGAGAACTACATGAAGCTGCCAGGAGAGAGGGAAAAGTCATTAAGCCCCAGTCAACCTAGACAGCCGATCCTGAAGTCATTTGTTTACCGCTGTGACTCTGAAAATAGACCACTGATGATGTTCATTCCAGGCACTGCCGCGGGATAATAGACCCAAAATGCAAATCATGAGCATAAACATTACCGGAGAGCGTGGGGAAAAAAAAAACACTGAAGGTATCTTATTTATTTTTTATTCCGTCCTGCTGAGAGCTTTCAACAAAGGAGTCAGGATGATTAGGCCCGATGCTTTATGCTGCTGCATGCGGCACTGTGTGCATCTCAAGGGATTAAGGTTACGTCTTCTTCACCGGGGGCCATTACCTGCACTTTCTTTACTATCAGAATTTGGTATTTTTGAGCAATGATGCAATTGAAGAAAATGTTGTAGTGCACTGCATTCAAGCCACTTATCCTTGTTTTGCTGACACACACACTTAAAAGTATCTAAATGCTGATATCCAATACACACCGATAACTCATGCACTTCCTATGTTACCCTGGTATGTTGATCTGATGGATTTGCATGTTTACACATGAAGTGCAATTTTTTATTTATATAAATATATTCACTTTTTTCTACCAAAGACTGTAAGTGGCTGCGAGATGACTGTGAGAATGTGATGTCTTGTAAATATTGTGATTTTACACGTGTTGAATGTAAATTAAAAGTTTGGGGGCAGCTGGACTGCTCGTGAAATAAAACCGAAATGTCTCTGACAGGTTTGTTTTTTAATTCAGTCTCAAACTTTGGACTTCTAGAAACATAGATGTTAAAGAAAATAATCTCAGCCCTAAGTGCTATATAGATTTATTTTTAGCTGTTTTCACACAAGCACCCCTGAAAATGTCTGGAAAAGTTCAGCACAGCGATCCTCTGAAATCTCCCCTGGGGTGCTCTTTGACACATGGCCCTTACAACGTCTAGTTTGGGACAGATGGGAGGGGGAGGTGGGTCCCAGGAGGCAGGACATGATGGTTGTAATGTCTGCAACATATCCAAGGTGGCAGGTGAAGTAAAATCTGTCATTTTCATTACAGTTTTTGTTTGCCTTTATCTCAATGCTACATGTTTCAGACATACAGTATCGTCAAATGAGCGAAAAAGAAAAACCTGGCAAACTGAAAAAGTATGGAGCTGCTTTATGAGATGTTTGACCATCACACCTGCACTGGTCAGGGGATTCAACATCGATTCCAATTAAGGTTGAAAAATGTGGCTGTTTGCTAGAGTTGGGAAAAAAAATCGATTCATGTAAAAATCTAGATTCTTACCTTCTGAGATTTTGAATAGATTCTTAACTTCTTAGAATCATTTTTTGGCTCTAATCAGTCACTCCCTGCTAAGTGCTAAGGCTAGCTCTTTAACTCAGTAGAATGCTAAATAGAGCAGCAAGAAATTCAGCCGGTCTCACAGATGACAGGAGAAGATCCTGAAGAATGAACTAATTCAAAAATAGACTTTGAATCATGAATCCAAAAATCGTTTCAAATCGGAAAGAGATTCTGAATCGAATCATGACCCCAAGAATAAAAATCAAAGACACCCAAAGATTCCCAGCCCTACTGTTTGCATTCACAGATGCAGTTGATTTGCAGCATTACAGTCCATTTACTTCCATCTGGTCTAATCTAAACTTACTCTTTCACTTGAGATGAGAGACTCTCCCACATATGCTCTCCACATGGACGTTGTTCATGTACACAAACAGCATCCATTGAGATATGACCTCTGTCACTTCTGACCTAAAAAGGAAACCCTTTTCTTAGTTTTAATGCCAATTAAAGGGATTACGACAAAGCAGTTTGCAGCTGTGGATTAAAAGAGCCTTTGTTCATCAGCACTGTTTTGCAGTGAGTAGCACGTGCGATGGTGAAAAAGTATGAGGACACGATTTTTTGTAAGATAATACTGCACATGCAGGTACACAGAAAGATTATCAACGAGGTCATAAACCACTTTGTCTACAGGAGCCACCACACAACACAAATTAAGAGAAGTCAAATTTATCGGTGGAGCCAGCTGGGGACAACAGCGTTGTGTGTGTGCATGTCTGACTGTGTGAGTGTATGTACAATTCTACAATTCACTTAGGAATTTCTGCAACACCATAACACAGTGCAAATTCACAGACAGGGACACCATTATTACCCTGTTGCAAAATCAATATGCATGTCACAATGGCGTGACATGTAACGATGACAGAGCTTCACCGCTGTTGCAGAACAGCATTATGAAAAGGCTTTAGCGGCACATTTAGCCTTGACACATCCACACGCAGTATGTGAATGAAATATATTAAGAAACCTTGCCTGGATTTTTCTGCTGCCAAACAAAAACTTAATTCTTCACTTTGGAACATTTCATTCCCCTTTGTGCAGCTGATGGGGGGGGGGCGGGGGGGCACGTCATCGAGCTGAGTTCCCGCACTGTAACAATGTTTAAAGTTGTAAGTGCAGGCAGAAACAGGACATCCTGACGGACAGCGGAGAGTCCTCGCCTGCCTGCTGTGTGTCCGCTCTCTGATAGCGGAGCCGTTTCCAGCCATGAACTCATAGAAGAGGCTGACAGTGTCCAGACCGCCCCTATGTGGCTCCTGACAGGCTGACAGCTCCAGCTCCCTCCTCAGACCTGCTGGCCTGCTGTCTGAGTGTAATGAGATCATCTTTTACACCAGCAGCCTTTACAGAACCATATGCTCTCTGCTTTCCCACAGGTTAGGGGAGCACATCCCTGACTTGAGTGTTTAATGGTTTCGAGCTCCACACTGACAGGGAGTGTTTGTAAAACTGTACTAAAAAGATGTCCTCCCTCTTCAGTATTAGGACTATTTTAATCCAGTTTCACCGGATGGATGTCATTTGGGTCAGGTCCAGTTTTCTTCTGAAATACTCAAACAAGTTTCTACATGACCTACAACAGGAAGCATAAGCTAGCACATTTTCTTAGTTGTTTTTAATTATGTTACTATGCTGGTTGAATTCTGGCGAAACTGCATGCGGAAAGAACTCTTGTTTACTTTTTCTCCAGCATAGTTTCACGGGGAGTATGAAGAATGAAGTACGACTGGTTCATCGTAGGGATACTGCACATGCATGTAGACGACAGAATTAGCAGAGATAAGAAGTACCACTCTGACCACAGGGGCCGCCAGACTCAACACATATCCTTTTACTATGGGCTGAACCGACGTATTGTACGGACGTAAGGGATTCATGATCCCAAGAAGATTGAGATTAATGACCTTGGAGAGCCCCATGATTTTTGCTGTAGCCCTATGAATAATCCTACATTTTTTTTTCCTGTGCTGTCGTTTGTTTGTAAAGGAGGCCGACTCACTCCCTGTAAATCAAATCTAACTACGGGTACAAATAAGGTTGCCTTAGCTTACCTTACGTCTGTGGTCTCAAATTAAATTTCTTGAGAGATATAAGGATTTATTTTTGATTTGTATTTCGCTACAGACGTCCGTGTTTCCCTCAGGGTGAAGAACAGAAACTATGGTGACCTCCTAACCTTTTAAAAAGTGCCAATCATCACATCTAAAGTTAATGTTTTATTTTAGAGGACATACAGAGGATGGAAATGTCATCTTCTCAGTCCTTAGCATGCTATGTGCTAAATGTTAGCATGCTAGCCTGCTAAATGTTAGCCGTTGTCTTATAGGAAATATGGATACGTCTAGAGCAGTGGTTCTCAAACTATGGTACGCGTACACCGGTGATAGCTCCGTGTGGTGGTACGCGAAGGAATCTCCACAATAAAAAAAAAAAAAAACCATTCAGCATAAAACACCATTTTTTTTTTTTTGTCGTCCTCTTATCTGGCTTGTATCTATTGGATTGTATTTATATCAAATGTGTTTTGCCCTCTAAATAAATCTAGTTTTTGCAACAAACAACTATAATCTTCTCAATTTGTGCTCGTGCGCGCACAGACACAAACACCAGGAGTGCGCCTCGCGTTTTGAAAAGTTCCACTCGATAGTCCGTTATTTATAGGAGTTCAGTCCTGAATCAACAGGAAGCAGCTGTAGGCCTACATTAACAGATATTCTGTTATTTATTGGAGTTCAGCACAGAATCGGTGGCAAGCAGCTGTACATTAACATTTTTAAAACGGCGCCAGGAGATGCTTCTGTTGTGATGCATTTACAAGAGTGTACGGACAGTCGCTCACCCTCTCTCTCTCTCTCTCTCTCTCTTGCTCTGAAGCTGAGTCTCTATTTTTCTGTGTCTTAACTATGCGCAGGAGTCGAGAGGTATTTTTTTTTTTTTTTTTAAAGGTAGTTTTGCTATGTTGAATGTTTTTTGATTTGGGCAAATGTCAGTGTTGTGTGGAGTTTAAGTGCCAGTTCTAGTGCTAGCCCTTAGTAGTCCTATAGTGTGGCTGCCAACAGTCAATAATAAATAATATTATTTTTATGAATATATTTGCCTCCTGTGTAAAATGTGTATTTTAACGTCTACGGAGATGGTACGCAGTCTAGAAGGTTTGAGAACCACTGGTCTAGAGAATCAGATCCAAACATTGTCCTTGAGTTTTCTTCTTCACATTTAGTCCACAGCGGGAGATGGTGCATGTCAGACTAACTACAGCAGAGACACATTTTATTTAGGCTACATGAGGTGCCTTGTTACAGCAGAAAGAGGAGGGCTCTTCACATCTGAAAAGTCTACAGTGGGAAGCAGTAAGCTGGCAGAAAGGTGCACAAAACAGAACCACTCTGTGAAACATAATCCGTCATGTTCATGTCTACTAAAGACTTGAATTTTCTATATTACACAAACAATGACCTGCTCCAGCTCAGATGGACATTACACAGACTTTACAGCCGAGGGCTCCTGAGCTAAAGTCTGTTTTATGTCAGGTTCAACTAATGTGGAAACTTTCTCACACACAGCTCCTCTAGGTGAAGTCAAGGTAAGTTATTATAGCAGCTAATGTATCAGCAGGCAAAGCAGTAGGGGTGTGTGCCTTTAAATATATCACGTTTCGACTCTCAGGGTCACAATTAGATTCAAACACAATCACAATTCATTGCCTATTTGTTACACGGGTTGTAATTTTAGGATCTACTCCACTTTGCCGTGCTCAATATGGCTGCTGGTGTAAATGAACTAAGGATGTAAGAAAGAACGAAAAAACAGAATCTTAGAATTTAAATACGATTCCAACATGGATCTTTTTTTCCATACAGAGCTGGATATTCTTATCTTCTCAGCAAGATGACATTAGCATTTAGCATTTAGCATTTGCCACCTCACAGGACTGCCAGCATAGATTTTCTGTGGATTGGGTTAAAAGCAAGCGGCAACCTCTGGTGCTGAAAAATGATGCTAATGCAGAAGTGCAAAATCCTGCAGTTTGTGTAGGGTTCGCTTGAGGCTGTCTCCAGGAGCCCCAGAAGTCACATACACGCTTATTCAAAAAAGCCGTTTTTTTAAGAGCAGAAATAAACATGTTTACAGCCTGGGACAAAAAAACGACATAAGTCTGATTGGCTCGTTGTATTTTTTGATAACTTATCCGTTTAGATTTTATGAAGGCTAAGAGTTATTCACAATAAGGTGTGTATCTGACATGATTGACAGGTGGGCGTGGTGTAAGGGTTTGTCAGGAGGCTTTAAAGCACCGCCTCGGCGCCAGCTCTCAGCCTGTCGTTAGAATGGCTGAAAGTCAAATTTCCAGCATGGCGACCGCC